GATTAAGAAACAAAGACCATAAAAGAAGATTCCAGAAATTAACAAAATTCCTTTTTTTCTCCAGAAAGGGCACAGAGGCATGATAGGACAAACAGACTAAAAGAAGTTACAGAGCCTAGCCCCTGCAGGGCAGTCAAAGTCATGAAGTTTGGCTCAGGTTAAAGCCTATTTAGATAAGAAAGCTGGAACTTCCATAGACACAAAATCTAGGAAGTTTAATGTATTCTCTTTAAGCAAAGATTTCACCCCATTCCAGATTTCTTAGAAGACAAAAATCAGCACTGTGCATATGAAGTCAGAGGTGATAGAATTCAGAACATTCAATGTCTCTAAGTGAGAAACATATAAAGAAAGCCTGCCAGATAAAGAGCAAAATTATAAAAGCCTTGACTATTTCTTTAGAAATAGTATTTGATAGAGTGAACTAGAATATATAAGAAAACCAGATAAAATAAAACAAGATAGAAGAAGCATAAATAGTCTTTTCTTATCAGAGGAAAGTAACTATTTTTCTAAAACATTTCCCTTACTCTAGGTCTCATCCATCATCTGCCTGACATAGCAATAAAATATATTTAAATTGTGAAATTCTACCAGTTCTAAGATAAATTAGAATATAACACAGAAAGAACTAGATGACACCTAAAAACTGAAATTTTGAGGTGTGACATTCAGACACACAACAGAAGGTACAATTTATGCACTTCCTGTAAAAGGACCTCACCAAAGACACGCCAGATGGATTTGAGTATTTCATCAGTGCTCTCTTGCCCAGACACTTGGATAGGAAAGGACCGGCTCCTTTCAAGTGCACCAGCTGGGGAAGCCAGATAAAGTGATTCTTTGTACATGCATTGTAATCTTTGCAAATCTCCAAAGATGGAGATAGCCTGTGATCTTCTAGCAGAAAAAAAAAAAAAAAGCTGTTGCCATGATCCCCACACTGACAGATTCATAATCCGAAGCTGCATTTTAGCCACCTACACTTGACAGAACAGACTTGTTTTGCACCCTTCCTTACCACATGAAAATTGCCTAGAGAATGATGACCTTTAAGTCCACAATTTATCACAATTTCTTCCTATAAAATAATCTGATATTGTAGCAGTTCTGTGATTTCCAAATCAATAGGTTTTAACTGCCATTGCTGCAACCAGCTGTCCAGTTTCTTTGCCCATTTTTGGCAGAGCTGGATACATGCAGCCTTTTTAAAATATTTAATGAATGACACTGAAAAAGTTATTTTCACCTTGACAGTTTGTCTCTGCACAGAATACAGACACAGCAAACTGAAGAGCCTTGGAAAAAGTATGTTATGAATATGCTCAGAAAGGCACCAAAGATGGCTCTTGAAAATCTTAATTTTTCCCTTTTGTAGATTTAGTTTTCACACAGAGGGAAAAACCTGTGCACCTCTGGGAAAATCTGTGATATTATCAAGTATATATATATGTGTGTGTATATATGTATATGTATATGTGTATATATATATATATAGCCTTTCTGTCTACTTTTATATGAAGAGGGATTATTTCTTTTTCCAGTTTTGCCTCAAATTAAAATTACTTTCCCATAGTACAGAAATTATCTTGGACATAACCAAGAAAGAGAAAGAAAACACTGCAAAACAATCAGTCATTATTCCTTTTTTTTATTATTATTGATTAGGCTCCTTACTATACAGTAATTTAGGTTAAAAGCAGCAGTTAGGCCAAGGGGCAGGCCATGAAAAATATTCTTAACGAAAGGATACTGGCAGTTTTTAGCAGAACTTGCATTCAGCAATGTCTCATGCATCTCAGAACCAGTTGTGCCAATGAAATGTGCACACCACAAGGTAAAGAGTTCGGAGGTAACTCCCTAAATACAGCACCTAACATTTGCAAGACAGTTTGTTGCTTTCTGTGGTATTCAAACGATGATCCCCTTGGCCATTTGTAAATCTTAACAGCAGTTCAGACTTTTTTAATAATCACTTTGGAGTCTAAGAGGAAGTAAATACAATTAATAACATACCTGGTCATCACGAGCTTTCTCAGATCTGACAACAAGTGGCTCTAAGAAGACAACTCCCAACTATTCTGCAGAAGCTGCCAAAGGGAAAAGCAAAAACTTTTGTATAGAGATGTGTCAACTAATTTTCCTCTGAGTCCTTGTCACTTACTGCATAAAACCAGCGTGTCATATTCCTGAAAAGGTATAGACCCAGCAGCTTCGAGTGTTAGAAATTAGTGACCATCTTCATTTGTTTGTTCCCACAGGTGCACAAAGGTATTTTTGAAGCTCAGATGAGACACTGAAAAGAGGTGTGAGGTAGCATGGTACACCCAGGGCCTGGGCAGCCCATATCCTGCTCAGCCCTGATTTGCTTCCAGCAGAGTATCTCACTGGCCAAGACCAAAATCTGACCTCCTCTTCACCTGACTGCAGGCCTTAAGATCTCAACCAGCTTGTGGGAATAATAAACATTCAGTAAGCATGTGATTAAAGGCATTTTCCTGCCTTAGTTCTAGGTGTCAGTACTTCATCATGCATCCCTCCTACATAGAATTGTTACAGGTTAAATTCTTTTCACAGTTTCTGTGTCTTGAAGACTTACTCAAATTTATTCCCCTTCAGATTTCAGACCAAAATCAAAGTTCAAAGAAAATCATTTAACCAAACAAGTAAAAGAAATCTCAAATGCAAAACTTAAAAGTCAGTTTTTCTAAAGATTTCCAAGGCTCTGTTATTTTAATTAAACTCCAGGAAAATGAAAGGAAAATTAAACTCCATTTTATTGGATGAAATATAAGAGTGAAATCAAAAATTAGGAAAACAGAGAATTTCACCCAGAGAAGATGGATTACCCTAATTTGGAGGATGATCACTGCATCTCCTCGCTTTAGGAGCAAGTTAGTCATCTGGTCCATGGCAGCTCATCTCCAGCCATCTCTAAATCTTCATGTCACCAGAGGGAACAAAGGAAGCTGCTGGCACACGTTTCTCTGGCATCACACAGCCTTGAAGCACCCAACACGCCACCATGGCATCTGCCTGCCTGCACTATGCCAGATTTCGGGAGAAAGAGGCTGAGCAAATAAAGTGAATAATGCAAATACGTGAATAGTAAAAACTCAGCAGCAAAAGCTAGCACTAGGTTTGTGAGACAAAAAACATATTAAGTAGAGTTTTATTAATTAATTAAAAATCAACAAAAACTTTTGGTTGATTTTCGTGATTCCAAAGGTTAAAAGCTCAACAGCTCTGTCCTTCTTTCTCTCTTGGGACTACAGATGAAGGCCTTTCACTGCCAACAAGTGGGATGGGAGATGAAGAACCCACACTCAGAAATTGCTCTGCAGCTCCCCGCTATGTTAAGATTCCCCAGGACCTGTAGGACACCATGAGCAGTCTGACTCCTGCAGACTTCTCAGCTCTGGCAACTTCAGTCCAAATTACTGGCTGCACAACAAAGTCCTCTGTAACACCCTCCCCTGCAGGTTTCCAGGCTTCTTAAGGTACAACTGTTGGCAGGAACTCACTCAGATCCAACCTTTGAGCCACCTGAATGTTACCACTGGCAGCTGGAAAACTCAGAGCTTGCAAGCTTTCAGGGTTCACAGGCACCAGGACATCAATAGCATACAGGGATATAAGGGAAGCTTCAGAACCATTGCTTTAATTAGAGAGCTGTTGGACACAAGGTGGTAACTAAATGCCAGAGAATGCCAGGTATCACACAGCTTACAAACACACCACATGATGAAGAATTAAATTATGCACAAGATAATACTAGCAAAGCAGGATAGGAGAATTTATATGTATAATACATGAAAAAAAATAGATGTTTTAGGTCAACCCCTGTAAGCAATTTTGTTTCACATTATGCGTAACTTGGTTATTTCTAGCTCCTCCAGAAAGTGAAGAGGTTTCCAGTGGTAGTATTCATCATGTTTACTTCTATGATTCAATCCTAGATCTCCTTACCCAGCAGTGCTTTAGTGTTCCCTTTGGAAAAGGAAACAACACACTTGGTTTTGAAGGTGGGAAGATATTCCTTTTTCATTAATGGCATGTCACAGTTCTTGGACTCAACAGCTGTAACCATAGGACCAATCTTTTATAGCACTCTTAGGCCCTGCTTACATTGACAAGTGTAACATGAAAAGCTGATTTGTAGAGCGACACTTGGTGCTAATTCAGCATTCACCCCACATGCATTTCTATAGGTCATGCTTCAAACAAAATCCTATATGGTCCAGTAGACCGAACACTCGCCACATAGCCAAGACACACAGAATGCACAGCGTGATATACATCAAGCAAGATGTACATCCTGAGACTCGGCTTGCTCGGAGAAGAACCCCATTCATGGGCTGACACCACCATGCACTGTAAACTGAAGTGTGACATGCAGGAAGGACTCAGATTCATTTCAAGAGCATTCAAATGACCCAAGGTAAGAATGGCAGTGTAGGTGCACCCTTGCTCTCCCAACTGCTTCCCACACCACCTGCATCCCCCAGCACTGCAGGAATATGCAGTGCTAAGATCTACTCACATAAACTGACATTAATTGGAGTGAGGATTAATTCTTTCCAGGCTTTAGCATGTATCCTTGTGATACTGACTGCAATATCAAAGCCTTTGCCTTCTACATGCAAAAGTAAGGAACAGTCATTAAACTACACAATCTAACTTTAATTAGGCAGACTAAGAAATCATCAACCTGTAGTCCACTCTCTTCTCTCTCCATTGCAACAGTGGTCAAATTTTAATTATATATGGTGAAGTCCAGGCTGGATGAGGAAAGTTTTCACAATTAGGCTTTCACTTGATGATAAAGTACCCTGAGCTTCCTCAGAGACTTGTACCTCAAATGACTACTGACAAGATTAAGAATTATGTTCACTTTTTTTTTTTTTTTATTCTAATAATGAATCACAAGAATATTAACTGCTTGGTGCTGCAAGTGCCTGGAGCCAGGCTTCTATATATGCAACAAAACTGTTCTCATGTGCCAAGCCAAGATCAGCTTAAATTTATTGATTACATATTTTATACTGTCAGAAGCTACAAAACACAGAAAATATTGATAGCCAAATTATCTGGCTTAATATAAAATAAATACAATGGATTTTGGAATGAAACCAGAACCCTAACATATACAAGTATTTTCAATTACCAAAAACTCCATGAAATTACAATTTCAGCAGTTAGTAGTGCACATTTGAAAAAAAAAAAAAAAAAAAAGACACCCTCAACTTGATCTCTGATCTACAGCCTTAACCACTGGTGTTATACAGCTGGACTAATAATCTTGAGGGTATGTTTTCACTGATGGAGGAATGCTCATTTTCTTTTCCTCTTCTCAATTCCAGATTTTTTAATGTAGTTTCTAACAAGAGAACTATCCCACCCCTCAAAAAAACTCCACCCGTACATTTGCTTTTATATACAATTAACACTGTTTTGAGACTTGGTATATATTTTAGTATTGATAATCAATATTTCTTAGGCTATTGCACTTTCTATGAAATACTAAGTCAAAGCTTTATTAATTTGTCTGAGACATAGGGGGACAACTTACTTTTCTTGGAAAGTGACAACACTGCTAACCCACTAAAAGAAGAGAACAATTATTCTAGGCTAATTATAATATCCATTATGGAATGGATATCTTTTAATAATAGTCTTTATTATGAGAATAAATACATAAAACAAATTGAATATATTAGCCACATTTCTTCATATACATTCAGAATAGAACAAGAAGCTAATAGGCATAATCAGCAGAACTAGTTGAACAAACAAATTTTTAGGAAGCCAACAACACTAGAGGAAAGCTGGAATGTTTATGCACCCGTAGCAGACAAAGAGCATGTGATTTCAGAATTTCTTTTGTATTCATTTCAAGACAAACACACTGTAGTTGTAAGCGTGAACTGCATGAACTGATGGAAGTGTTTAGCTCCGTGCTGTGGCCGTCTGAGGTTGTTCTGATTGCAACTGCTTCCCAAGGTATTCCCTGAAATACAATAAAAAATTAGATTGAGAAATGTTCTGGAGAGTGAGGAGTGCAACAGTGGTGGGAATTACAAAGTGGATAAAGAAGAAAAAGCTTTAATTTTAGAATTAATCCCTCAAATAATGTCAACTGGAGCAACAATGAGAGCATCTGAGTTTTAGATATCCATCATCTGCCCTATGAAAATAAAGTACAAATCAAACATCAACAAAGCTGTCCAGAAAAGGAAGGAACCCAATGGGAACATTTAGAAGCCCTGAAAACTGACACAGAACACCCATGAGGCAGATATATTTTGCTTGTTGAATACATATTTTAGAAGCTGTGGCAAAACATTTTAAATTATCTCTTTCCACAACCCAGCTGCAGGTGCATGAGTAACAGAAAGGACATACTGGCAATACAATAGGCAAGCAAAACAGACTCAATAATTACATATTCAAGTTGAGAAAAATAAAAGACAACCAATCCAGGCCCACTGTATACCAACATCTTCTTTACAGTGTTTTCCTCACCTGCACTTTGAAGTGCGCTAAGCCACTTACTTTCTCTTTGTTCTCTCAACACTGGAACATCTCCCAGATTACTGGCACTTGCCCTGAGCAACAGTGTCTAAATCCCATGGAAAAACACTGCACAGTTCTGAACACTACAATCCTTCACTCTCTCTTGTGAAAGAAGATCAACTCTTCACAAAAAAGAACCACAAAAAAGCTGAAAGGGGTCTTTAATAATAGTACCTGGGTTGCTGCTTGTCACAGAAAATACAATAATTGTACCACTGTATCAAGTGGAAGAGAGGTTTCAGGACTCGTGAAATGTAGGCGTTCTTTTTCTACTGCAGATCATACACTTAGTACTGTGCTTTCTCACTACACAGATATTTCAACCTACACAGGTTAAGCACTAGAAGCATATCAGAGGGATGATGTTCAGAAAGAAGTCTAAAGAAAACCCCACATAACTCAAGAGTATGTGCTTTTGCTTTATTAAAAAATTAATTTAAAAGATCAGGTTTTTATGCACATTTCAAAAACTAGTTTTCTGCTTAGTGTCCTGTTGAACAGTTATTCCTTATGGATTAAAATTCCTATTGCACAATGAAGTTCAGTACCTCAACTGCTGAACACAACACCACTTTTCACAGTTTTAACATTAAGCATCCAGAAAAGCAAAAGTTCAAACACCTCTAGCAAAGAAAATAATACACAATTTGTATGCTGAAGCATATGTAATGGTTTAGCATCTTCATTTAGAGCTTCATCATGTGTTGCTGTAAAATCATAGTATTTTAATGCTTGGGCTCCACTTAATAGATACAACTCCTGCCCATAATAGACAGTTATCACCCTCAGAGAAGAGGCTCCTGCTGGCAAAAAAGGAAATGAGCTGCTCTCTTGTGCTTTTTCAGGACTCAAAACTGTACCAGCATAACAAAATTTGACAGTCATCCAAAAACACAGACAGCAACAATGGAAGAGCTTCCACACTCACCAAACCTCTTTCTGCTCCCTCTGTTTTTCGTTGTCTTTTTTTTTCATTTGTTTCATGCCTATATGCATGTACTGATTCTAGTATTTCTTCTCTGACATCCAGCCTTGAAAGCAACTGACACTTGCTGCATACATGGCTCTGCTCATCATATTACAAGCCCACATTACAAAAAATAAACATTATTTATTCTTAAAGCACGGATGAACCATACTGAATGTAAAATTCCCACACTATTACTTTGAAGTAGGAAAATTAATCAAGCTAATAATCCATAACACCACAACTATTACAGAGCTTACACTGTTTCAGATGCATGGCCAAGGCTTTCTAAAAAACCCACTAGAGTGCAGTGCAGTCAGCAAAAATCTCCAAGACAGCAGAGCAGTAGCATATTGTGTAGGTATTTAGTGCCTTCACAGACATATTAAACTTCTACAGCAAGTAGAACAGTATCTTCTCTACAAAATCTTTTGTAGATGTAAGGTTTAAATCTAGGGTCAAGGAAAAGCTCTCATCCCATTTCCCCATACAGAATGAATACCTGCAATTACAGTTCTACATTGTCATAATGCAAACCCAAGTGAAAATCCCATAGTGTTTCTATCCCGTCACCTCCTTAGCTACCACCAAGGGGCACTGAAATGCAAAAACCTTGCATTACAAGCTGTTAGAAGGATCACTTAATTTTCTGTTTGGTTATCACTTCCATTTGAGGGTCACTGGTTAAGCCAGGACACAAATTATTGCATGGTCTCGATTAGATGAACATGGAATCATAGAATGGTTTGGGCTGGAAGGGACCTTAAAGATCATCTGATTCCAAAGCCTCTGCCATGGGCAGGGACACCTTCCACTACACCAGGTTGCTGAGAGACCACTCCAACCTGGCCTTGAATACTCCACAGGATGGGGCATCCACTGATTCTCCGGGAAACCTCTTCCAGTGTCTCACCACCCTCACTCACAGCAAATAATTCTTTCTGATATCTAATCTAAATCAGCCCTGTTTTATTTCACAGCCATCACCCCTGGCCTTATGAGAAAGCCCTCTCCAGCCTTCCTGTAGGGCTCCTTCAGGTACTGTAAAGGTGCTCTAACATCTCCCCAGAGCCTTCTCTTGTCCAGGCTTAACAACCCCAACTCAGAGCTTCTCCTCACAGGACAGGTGTTCCATGCCTCTAAATCATCTTCATGGCTCTCCTTTGGACCTGCTCCAAAATGTTAAGTAGGACCCTGTTCTGCCTCTGCTAAGACATGTATTAGAAGAATAAGAAGATTCAAATATATTTTATAAATACTGGTATTTCATCCCATTAGGAAGTTAAGAAGCACTGTAACCTCCAAACTTCACTCATAAGTTGGACATAAGTGTCCATCCCGATGGTATTACAAATTAAGGGTCTAAGAGTTTATCCTGCACTGATATTTAGTTAAATCTTAAGAGAAAAACTGGGATTTTAAAATTACTATTTACCTCACAAAATTAAAGTCATCTGTAAGAATGCAAGCCTTCAATGCATTGCACTATATGAACATGCATGATAAAAGGATGGATCTTGTCACATGGTAACAGATCAGTTAATAAAATATTTAAAATAGCATCTGAGATTTGTGATGCACACTACGACGGACAGTAATTACATAGGTATTAGACTCACTTTTTTTTTTAATTGCAAGCTATAAACCCAAGAACTGGACCACTACAAGATATTTTAAACCATTCTCCTCACATTTTAACAGAAAGGCTTTTATAAAAAGGTCAGGTTTAGCCATCTTCCCACTTCCTTCAACATAAACCCATCCTTATTAAAAGCAGACGAAGCTAGTGCAAATAAGTTTGCATTTACAGATAACAGCATTCAAATATTAAACAACTGATTTAGTATAAATTTACAAGAACAAAAAATATTACCTTTGCACTGCAGAAAAGCTTCAAACGTGTAACTGTAGTACATCACTTTTGAGGCTAACTATAAAATCTTCCATTTCTCAATTAAAGCTCAGATCAACAACCACACACTTTCACTTCCCTGGTCACCCACAAGTCTAAAGTAAAGCAGAAGCAATTTCCACTTGCAAATTAATCTTTTCATTCTTACTAGAACAACCATGTGAAATTGCTTTCACTCTAGAAATTCCCCCTTTTTTGGGCCTCTTTTTTACACACATTTTCTGCTGTTTCCAAAGTGTTTTTTCCAAGAAGAAAAGGAAGCTTAGGGGTGAATACATTAATTCATTTTATCTCAAACTGTTATTCTAATTTGTTTCTTCCTTTTGTTTGATCAGTTTTTGCTTCTCATGTGAGCCACTGACACCTTGAAGGAGAGCTATACTTAAATGTCATAATTGAAACAAATGCTTAAAGTTTATTTAGGAAAAGGCACACAAAACTGATCCAATATGTAAACTCAGTGATTATGGAATAAGAAGATAAATGCAAACTGGCACAAGATCCCACCTACAAATTTTATACTAATATATCCCATATATTAAAAGATCACTCTCAACAACAAAAAATCTGTGAGTGAAGGGAAAGTTTTAAGACACATACAACACATCCCTAGGGATCATGTGTTTAAAAAAAATGAGCCTTGAAGTTTAAGTAGTACTACCTGTCCTTTAATGCTGAAAATTAATGGGCAAAGGAAGAAAAGTAGATGAAGCACAGAATAAAGGAAGGATGAAATTTGCATATTTTTTCTTTTCTTACATTTAACTCTTGCATCCTGATTATTAAAGAAGATACCAAAAAATATTTGATAGTCCTGAATATCTGCAATCTCTAACTTGGTTTAGGAGACTGAGGTTCCCAAGAGACAGAATGCCTTTCTTTGACAAAAATCAAAAATAAAAATATTGATTTAATTTTTCTCTATCTAAACATAAGCCTAGAGCCCCATACTTTTTAAAATTAAATTGAAAAGCTAGTTTTAAAGAAAGCCTTCCAAAAGTCTGCCACTTGACTCAATATACTCAAAAGACGGTGCCAACATACAGTTTACAGACAAATCATGATGATATGACAATAGTTAAACAAGTTCACAGGACAGGCAGCAGATAGAATAGTCTGAACAAATTGATCAGTTTTGCCAGCCTTATGTTGCATTTCTGCTAGAGATCTAGCAACCTGGAGAGAAGTTATTAGACTAGAAAGAGTTGGACCAGTTCTACTAATTTACTGTGGCTTTACAAGTAGGCATTTGAATTACACAATTTATGTACTCCCAATTCTAAGCACGCTAAACTAACCCTTGAAAACTTGTAACTGTTTGTCTTGTAACCTTAATTGTCTTGTAACTGCTACACTCCACAGATTAACCATCCCTGGAACCTCTGAGCAGTACACATGAAGTGGCAACACCAGGACAAAGTTGCAACCATCTGTCTAGCCTCCCTCTAATCCAATGTGAGACAAAACTGGAAGACCCACCCTTTAACCCATTCCAGCTGTGTAGGCCTGGCTTTCTCATGAGGCACCCAGGGTATTCTGGTGAGACAGCACTTTT